ATGATATGAGAGATGATTAATAATGTGACTGTTAAATTTATTTTTATATTAAAAAAATTAAAACAAATATTAAAACAAAGAAGTGAACTTGATAAAAAAATAAAAAATAAATTTAAAAAAATATTTTTTTTTTATATAAAATAGATTCAATCCGCTCACTATTTTTCTAATCTCATCCAAAATCCAGCCAAACTAATACTCCTACTGAGGGAGATTACTAAACCCCTCACACTATTAATCCCTCCTCCCAAATCATCACCAAACAAGCTATGAGTGGGACCCATAACCATTCCAATCTAATTTGGCCCCATGCCAGTAAACAACAAAAATGCTATAGATCCCAAAAATTCTACCAAAAATTTTACCATATGTCTCACATAGGTGTGGGACATAGAATTCTACCAAAAATTCTACCCACATTGTGTGGGTCCCACACCCATTTGAGATATTTAGCAAAAATTTTAATAAAATTTTTAGAGTCTCTAGCATTACTCGATAAACAAATATGGCGTAAGTGATTTTTTTTTAAGTAATTTTTTAGATAGTTTAAATTTAACAATATAAAAGTTAAAGGTACAATAATTAAAAATTGAGGATACAATAGCTAGGCAAAAATTCAATCTAAAATTACTATATAAAAAATTACTCTAAAAGATCCTTGGTCATGCAATGCAATCAATGACTAATACAACCAAGATTTGTATTAACCTCCCATAATATATAACAAGTAGGGAATTGTTGAAGAATTGAAAATAGTATTCAAGCTCTTTAAAGAGTTTCAAACCCAATTAAAGCATCCATGTGAAATCACCACTAATACTTGAACTAATACAACTAGCAAATAAGGAGCCACGGAGGTTCACTTTTGGTTTTTTATATATATAGAAGTTGCTACTACTTGTGATGAAGAAATAATTTACTTCACCCTTTTTCAATGATTCAACCTTGGTTGAGCTATTGTTAGGGCAGTCCTAACTTTTATCAAGACAATTAACAATGAAATGACAAAATTACCCTCATAAGATTCATTAGAAAATCTCAGTTACGCAAAATATAGAATCATAATGGGATTATTCTATTTACATCCCCTTCAATCTCTATTCACACTCGCCCCCTTTGCACATATATTGAGGAATGTGCACTCACAAGATAGATAGTAAAAATGTAAATAAAAATTACTTCAATTAAGGAGATATCCTTCTCTCCAGTGCATAGAAATCACACTCCCAACGCTAATTATGAAAGACTCGTGAGTCTACATTTACAATGCACGTAGTAAAAAGTGAAAAACTAAAAGTAAAATGCCAATCATGCCGCTCTAATACTCATCAGTCCAAGTGGCAACACAAAAGTGATCCAACAACTAGGCTGTTCACCATCAAAGAAATTGGAATTTTCATGAGAGATAGAGTGAGAGATTTGATTGGCATATAAAGGGTTATTTACATGGAGGCCCCTCAAATTATTGAAAAATATTCTTTGACATCCTAAACTATAAAAGCGTGTAAATCGGTCTATTGAACTATTGGAAAGTATTACTCTGCCTCCTAAACTATAAAAGCGTATAAATAGAACTCTTAAACTATTAGCTTGTTTCACTTTGACCACTTCTATTACAGAATCCAATTTGTACATTTTTATTAAGGGGTCCATTTGTACGCTTTTATAATTTAGAGGGTAAAGTGATACTTTTCAATAATTTAGGATTCTATTTATATATTTTAATAATTTAAGAAGTCAAAATGATACTTCTACATAATTTAAGAGGTCTTTCAGCAAATAACCCGCATATAAAAGAGCCATACATATGTAGTGTCATTTACATGTTTCTTTTTGATCATTTGGAAATTGGAGGGCTCTTCTTGTCTTGCTCTGTTTTGTATTTTTGGCATCCACTCCACTGGTTGAAAAAAGTGACAGCCAAAGATCTACCAAGATACTCTTAGGCCTACCTGCATAATGGACCAAAATCACTGGTTCCATCATGCAATTTCACTATTTCATGTCATTTAGTTCATTTTTATCTTGTGTCTCTCTAGGACCCTTTCTTCTTTTATTTTTATTTCTTGAACTCTTATATGAGTATTTCTTAGTTAGAATCGCAAATCTTGGTGTTAATAGTTCGAATTTACCAAGATAGTAATTTTTTTTTGGAATATATGGTTTGTGCTGGACTAGTTTGTATGCCTCTATGGATCTTGTTTTTCTTTTTGGGATCAACTTCTCCCTAGTCTGCATATTGATTGGAAAGTTCAATCATGTAAGGTTAATCATGAGTCATGATTTCATTTGATTTGTTATAAAAAAATAATAATAATAATAATTTACTATTAAGGGCTAGTTTGGCATGTACTAAATAAGCCAAAAAGTTAAAAAGTCACTATCTTATTTTAGTCACATCATCTTATTTAAATCACATCACCTCTCTAACACATCACATCAAACCCAACCCAAACCCACCAATAAATCAAAAAGTACACTTTTTTAGGACATCCCAAACCAACCCTAAATCATACTTGTCGCTTAATTTAATTTTTTTAAAATCAAATTTGATAAAATTATATAATTACAATTATTGAGTCAATTTAAATTTTTATAAATAACGCACATTAACCCCGGGCAATTACCCAAGTGGTCATAAAGAAGACACTTAGGTGTCAAGGTGAGTGAAATTTTAAGTGCAAGTCTGTAAGAGACATTAACTTACATTGTAATTTAATTACTAACATACTAACCAATATCTTGTATTTAAAAAATAATAAAATAAATAAAATAAAAAATAAAAAAATTTACTCACAGACTCTGCAAGATAAACAACTTACATTATTAAAGCTTAGATCTCTCCAGTATGGGAGAAGTCAAGTCCTTTTTTTAAAGGAAGACTTATGGGCCAAGACTTAATACCCAACAAGTCCTACTCCAAATTATTTAGCCCACATTTCGGGTTTTACCATCACAACCCAACCCACCAACTCACGATTCTCAACTCACAATTTCTCGCAACAAATTTATCCAACAATATTCAACAGCGAAAAAACATGATATTTAGGACTACTATAAAAACCTCATTCAAGACTTATTAGGTAATAACTCCAACCAATAAGACCGACAGGTAGTTTTGCCTTTTTTTTAAGCAGTTCCATCACTAATAACTCTAATGAGTTAGGAAATGTAAAAAATAAAAGAAAAAAAAAAACAAAAATGCTAGAAGTCTAAAAAGTTTTACCAAAAGTTTTACCAAATGTCTCACATGGGTGTGGGACCCACATGATTGTATGGGTCCCACACCCATGTGAGACATTTGATAAAACTTTTGGTAGAATATTTGGGATCTCTAGCATTACTTAAAAAAAAAAAGCACAAAAGACAACCATCATATCAAAGGGAGAGACACCTCATTAGTGCTCTCCTAGTGCTCCATTTTTAGTGCTCCCAAGCATTAATCTTTTTTAAAACACAATCAAGAAGGAATGCCTAGAATCTATGTAGGTGGAGACTGCTGCTTCTTTTCTTTTATTTCAATCTGGGTTAGAGAGAGAGAAGCCCAACCCATATTTGGAGCCCCTATTGGACAGAGCCAGTTGTAACAAGATCATGTCATGGCCCCAAAAGCAATAAAAACAGAACAATTACATACATGGGATCAAATCCTGCCTTTATCTGGTGGGATTGGATCATAAAGGAAAAAAATAAATTCCTAGACCAAACACTGATTAACATTATAAACCTTTGTGCGTATCATTTGGGGTAAATATAATGAACTCATTTCCTCTAATGTGACTACTCACACTACGTCAAAATTGAGTTTTAGCGGCGATTTTTTACCGCCGTTAAAGGCTGTAAAACCGCCGTTAAAGCCTTTAACGGCGGTATTAACGGCGGTTTCGTTACCGCCGTTTATGCGTGTGTCGGAAAAAGTGAAACCATCGTAAAAAAGCAAATTACCGTCGTTAAAAGTTGACCAAAAACGACGGTTTTTTACCGCCGTAAATAGGTTCAAATTTTTCAAAAAATAATTCTTTCTTCTTGTACTCCCCAAGTTTTGAACCCAAGACCTCTCATCCACCAACACCAACCACTCTTCCATAACCACTCTTCATGAAATATATTCCCTAAATAAATATTTAAACATTACTTTTACTTTATTGTAGATGGTTTCGCCGGAGCATGCCGGAGTTTCGCCGGAGCTCCGCCGGCAAAGACCGCCATCATTAACGGCGGTAATGATTGGACATTAGCGGCGGTTTTGTTACCGCCGTTAAAAATGGGCATTAACGGCGGTTTCATTACCGCCGTTAAAAGTGTGTTTCATTACCGTCGTTAAAGACACTTTTAGTGGCGGTTTTTTAACGGCGGTAACGAAACTGCCGTTAATGATACATTAACGGCGGTATTAAAGGCGGTTTTCGTTACCGCCGTTAATAGTACCTTAAACGGCAGTTTTCGTTACCGCCGTTAAAAAAACCGCCGTTAATGCCCTGTTTTGGCGTAGTGTCATTTCCTAGTTGAAGGCTAGCTTGTGACTTGTCCCAGTGACAAGGGGTCTTTAGAATAAGCTCACAAAGAGCAGGTTTTGAACTTTGAACCCCAACATACCCTCCATCCCCCAATGTATGATTTTTGGAATATTCATATTCTCCCAAAAAAGTAAATAAATAAATAAAATTTAGGGTAAATTATAATTTAACCTCCTGTGATTTGCCTAAAAAACACGGAGTCCCCTTATAGTTTCATTTGCAACACTTAAACCCCATATACTTCATACCAGAGTGCAAAATCCAACGGACGTAACAGAAGTTGTAGTGAAAAAGAGCTAGCTTCAGCCTATTTTATACCCTCTGAAAGCTTAGCAATTTTTAGTCTCATCGGTTGCTATATTCGCATCTCTATTTGCTCTCTCTCTCTCTCTCTCTCTCGCCGTATTACAAATGAAGCATGTTTTACAGGAGAAGAATGGGAACCAATATGTTTCTATTCTTTAATGTTCTTGGAAGATGTAATGAACAAAACATTATTTCATTACAATTTTTTTGGTTCATCAGATGCATACATTTCTTGACCAAAACATTCTTTCATTTTACACCTTCACTTTTCATTACAATTGCTTCACAGACCATTGTACACCTTCATTTTCTACCTTGACTATATTTTTCATCTCTCAAACTCTATGGCCCAATAACAACCAATTTTTCTTTACTCCAGCAAACTTCACCCAGAACATTGTCATGATAAAGAAAAAAACCTATGTCCCAAACAGAGCTTTGCAAAACATTTTCTTTCTTCTACGACTTCTTGCTAGTTCCTTCTCCAATCTGTTCATCTTTGCAACCATCCTTGGCAACACCTCCCTTCCACGTTGGCACATGGGTGGATCAACCCATTCAAAGTAGCCACAAGTTACATCAACCTATAATAAAAAAATATGAGTCCACAAATTCCTTTTCAAAAAAAATTCAATCTTTTTTTCGAAAAAAAAAAAAACAAATTTAAGTTTTGCTTACCCCATATCTTGCACAACCATAAAACCTTCTACCCATATTTCCAGAATGTTCTTGGAAGATGTAATGAACAAAACATTATTTCATTACAATTTTTTTGGTTCATCAGATGCATACATTTCTTGACCAAAACATTCTTTCATTTTACACCTTCACTTTTCATTACAATTGCTTCACAGACCATTGTACACCTTCATTTTCTACCTTGACTATATTTTTCATCTCTCAAACTCTATGGCCCAATAACAATCCATTTTTCTTTACTCCAGCAAACTTCACCCAGAACATTGTTATGATAAAGTAAAAAACCCATGTCCCAAACAGAGCTTTGCAAAACATTTTCTCCCTTCTACGACTTCTTGCTAGTTCATTCTCCAATCTGTTCATCTTTGCAACCATCTTTGGCAACATCTCCCTTCCACGTTGGCACATGGGTGGATCAACCCATCCAAAGTAGCCACAAGTTACATCAACCTATAATAAAAAAATATGAGTCCACAAATTCCTTTTCAAAAAAAATTCAATCTTTTTTTCTAAAAAAAAAAAAATTAAGTTTTGCTTACCCCATATCTTGCACAATCATAAAACCTTCTACCCATATTTCCAGATGTCATTGAAGACTTCACAGGAGATCTCTCTCCACAATAACATAGTCTTAGAGCATTTGTCCTTGACTGTCCACTTTCGGAAGCAAATGAAGAAGCCATCCAACAATAATCTTCAACTTTCGGAAAATCTGGGCAACTTTCGAACAATCTGGAAACATTTCAATTTAGGATTCTATCTTATTTGGGTCTTGATTTGTGTATATATATGGCAATAAGGGTGTTTTCGTCATTTGCCATACGCTTTTGGGCGGAAAAACGTGCTCCACTCATCAATTCTGGTCGTGCAACACGCGCTGTTTAAACAAACAGTTCCGTTAGATTTTACACTCTGGTATGAAGTACGGGGAATTTAAATGTTACAAATGAAACTATAAAAGGGCTCCGTGTTTTTGAGGCAAACCATAGGGAGTTAAATTATAATTTACCCTAAAATTTAAGACCATCATGTCTCTTCTTATTGGCTCAACCCCAGAAAACAGATGGTGGCTTGGTTCCATCTCTAAATTAGATAATCTGCAAAATGTCTGATCAATAATCATACACATCTTTAGTGATTTCTGGCTAGAAACTGTGGGGACCATGCACGCACAAAGCAGAACCAAAAGAAGATTCAAATGAAATCGAAATCCTGGAACGATTGGAACTTTTGGCAGAAAAACACAAGTGGTATGATGCTTATGACGACCCTATATTAAGAAAAGTCATGCTAAAGAAACTCCCTCGCTTGAAAGAAGCTTTTCATATATAAAAAAAAAAAAAAAAAAAAAAAAGGGAGAGGGAACGATCTACCAATGCATGCTCAATTACGTAACAGAGCACGCATTTCCAAAATCGTGTTAACTTTGGCAAATTGTAACAGACCTAAGAAAGATGGACATGGACACATTTAAATGTGTCTGACATGTATCCAAATTTCCCAAAGAATGTCGGAGTCCAACACAGACATACCACCTTAAAAGTGTCCATGATTTTGTGGAGCAGACAAATAATTTCCTAACATAATACCATTCACATCAAACAAGTTATCAGCCTAAATCAATCCCCATTTAAAAATGGATAAATAAGTCCATAGAACATACACAAAATATAAAATAAAAAATTCAGATCCAGACAAATTAGTTTGATTTTAATTGGTTGAGCAATACCACCCTGGATTATCTGTTAATACTAAAAAGTTTATGCACTAGATTTGAAGGTATCAAACAACTTGTAGTGGCCAAAATTAAAATACATGAACATGATTAAATATGAATAGAGCTGGTTGCAACAAGATCAAATATTCCTTTAGGAAATTACATTTACGGGTTTTTGCTCTGGAATAAAAGGCATGTATTGTAACAATGGTGTACCTAGTAGCAGTACACTCATTGTTCATAACACAAAAAAAGCCATCAAAAAATAAAATAAAAACCAAACAATTACACATGCATACCCATTTATGCAATCCTAAATTTCACCGGTTCCAAGGGGTTGCCTTGAGGCATCTCCTGACGCCCATGCTTGGTAGTCTTTTACAAGCTGTAAAGCCATAGAAGAGAACAAAGTTAGTAGAGCAGAAAATATTTCTACAAAAATAAGAAACAGCTCTGTGGAACATCAATCAAGAATCGATTAATATAACCTACCTAAGCTGGAACATTTTGGATAAAAGGAGAATATTGGGAAAAGCAAAAATAAAAACAAGCAGAGAATTTTGGTATCATATCAGTTAGCTGAGCTAGCCCCAAGGAAACACTTTAATCAGTTTTTCCTTTAGAAGTTGATGTTTTGGTGACCTTGCCCAAGTAAAAGCAACAGCCGTCTAGGCTAGGATTTTTTATTTTACAACTAGTACAATGGAAATGGGGCAAGAAGAAGCTCCATCGCCCAATGATGAGACTCAAACCTGAGCACCATGCCTGCTAAATATAAAATCTCTTTAAAAACAAAAAATAAAATAAGTATAAAATTGATTAAAAGAGGCAACAACAGGGTATAACCCAGATACCAAGAGTGGCGCTTTCTCTTAAAACATTTTTAAGTCACCATAAATTCTTTAAAACACATAAAATAAGCCCAGTTTAGTCCCCATTGGATGGGGTCACGGAGGGGTAGGCTCGATAGAGACCCAACCTATGTATAAAATTGATTAAAAGAGGCAACAACAGGGTACAACCCAGATACCAAGAGTGGCGCTTTCTCTTAAAACATTTTTAAGTCACCATAAATTCTTTAAAACACATAAAATAAGCCCAGTTTAGTCCCCATTGGATGGGGTCACCTTTTCAGAACCTTGATAGAGACCCAACCTATGGCATTATTTGCACAAAGTGGCTACGTACATGTTCAAACCCACAACCTCAAGATTAATAAGCCAGGTTTTAGCCACTGAACTACTGGTCCCCATAACTACCAGAAGATAAATGTCTTGGGTAAAAGAGACAGAATACCACTACATATAGCAACTCATTTTGCTTTCTTTCCACCTCAATGTCCAGTTTAGCTTCATACCAAATAAGCAACAGAACAAAGCGTTAGTCGACATTAACGTATGTGGTTCCTTGGTCTTGAGCGAAGGCATTCAAGAGCAATCTCTAAAAGTTCCAAGGCACACATGGCTCTCCTTCACCTGAGGTAACAAACTCTCCACTCAAGTGCACCCTTTCCAGGCGTGCCAATACACTTGGACCTCCCTTGGCTCGAAGAGGTGGTCCTCCACCCAAACTTATTCTCATGATCTATACTTAGATCTCAAATAGCACCCTAAAACTCCCATATTAGCCTAGCTTAGAAGTAGAGTTAAGAACTCCAGTCAAGATTGGTGCAATTAAGTCACCAATTGCCCAAAACACTTAAGTTGTTAAGAAATTAGCCCATCAGTGTATATCAAGGTCTCTAACGCCCTCTTCACATGTAACACCATCTTGCACATGAAGATGCAAATATCCATAAATACAGAGAATTTTTTATGCAATCAAGAAAAAAAAAAATGCAAATGGATACACTTGAACCCTAGACCACTTTCCTTACGTAAGCTTTGATACCATGTGAATAAATACAATATAGAAAGAAAAGAGATTTTTATTGCATTAATCTCCATTAATCTTACACAACTAAATAACCTCTAATTAAATAGGAAGAAACCATAATGACTAAAGAACGACAAAATGTGTACTTACACCAAATATGCAAAATAAAAGAGGAAGAAAAAAAAAAAAAAACTAAAAATACATTCCTGTCATGAGTGCCACAATCATAAGGTGCTTGAGGGACCCCATTACCCCTCAAGCAAAATCACTACCCTTATGGCTTGGTGACTAGAATTGAGAGTTCGTCCCCATGCTATTCCCATCATCACCCAAGAGACTTAAACCTTGGCTAGTCCTAAAAAGAGAGATTTTCATAAGAAGACCTCTGAACATTTTAACACCATTACTTGTTGAAATCTGCAAACTAATGAGGTATCAATATCAAGCCACCCAAAGGCAACCACCTATCCCTTGTACCCATTCCAGTATGTGCCCTTGGCAAGACCAGGAGGGTGAGCTCATGCCATGGATTGACCCCTCTATATATAGTGGCTCTTTCAAGTTTCCCACTCCCTACCGTCTTTTACTATCGATGAAGTAGTAACATCAAGGTCTCCAACTTTTCCTTTCCAAATTCTTCATCAAACCCAAATGGAAAATAGGAAATCCTTTCCTTCAAATTTCAATTAGTTCCAAAAACAAAAGCACAAATTTCCTTTGAACCATTTCCTTTCCTTTCCTATCCCTTTTTCAAATCCAATTTCCAAATAGACTTGGTTCAAATACACTGTTTATCTCCAAGCAAGCAAACTACTTAAGCAACTTGGAGATTTAGTACATCACTCAGGACATTCCATTACTGGTGGTCCAGCTAAGTGTCAGCGCCCTGCTATACTCTTCTGGCTCCCTCTACCAGTGTACTCACCATCATCAGCTCACACCATTTTAGCAATATTGATTATATGGAAAACAAAGAAGCCGAAAGAGAAAAGAGGTAAGAGTAGGAAAAGAAAAAATTTGGATCAAAAGTATTAGCTATTAGGACATAAAATTAAAATAATTGACAAACAATATGTGAAAAAATGTATTTAGATCTTATAGATATCATCTTAACATTATGTACAAATGAGATTTTCATTTTTTTTTTGTGGTGGGTCAATCAAGTGGCTTATAGAGCATAAATATAATTCAACATAATCAGCTTATCATATAAATATGAGACAAATTGCAACATTCATTTAACCTCGTGTGACTAAAATTGACTAAAGAAATTCAAATTTGTGAGGTAAAGACAAGATTTCCTAAGAACCAAGTTTCATCTTGAATCTGATTTAAAGGGGGAAAATATCTAAACACAAACCTGTGCCATAAAGCGAGGAAGCATAATCCTCAATATTTGTTCTAGTACTTGAGTGCCGGTTGATTCAATGGCTTGCACGGGAATTGGTCGAAATGCAAAAGGAATCTCAATGCTGACCTGGAATTCACATCATGACAACAAAAGAAATTTTGCAAAAAATAAAAATAACTTCCAAAATGAAATGCCACAACTAGAAGAGAAGCCAATTAGCAGTTACCTCAATAACTGTATCTGAAGTGAGTTCAGCCACCGAGGAGTCGCTCTGTTTCCTATCGCATGATACTCTATTCACCATAGAAGCTGCATGCCCACACCAAATCAGTGTCAAAGCACTCCTGAAAAAAAGCATTTCATAATTCAACTCAGAACCAAAAAAATTAAGCTAAAAATAAAGTGCAACATTCCACTAAAATATGATTCTCGATGTCAAACAAACTTCCCGTGAAGAGAGTACAAGATTTTGAGTAGTCTGGATTATTTGGAAATGCTATAAGTAAAAACGTCACATGGCATTAATAAAACAGTACTATTTTATGATTATCGATGTCAAATAAACTTCCCTTGAACATACTTTTTGCACCTATTCACTTTTCATAACTAGGAAGCAGTTACGCTGGCAAGCACGCCTTTAAATGTTGCACAGCATTCTTAAAATTTTGAGGAAATTATCAATCAGTTGGAAGACCAAAAACAAATTACAAAGTGATGGAAAAGTTTATAATTTCAATTATTAAAGTTAATAAACTTTATCATTGGTTTGAAATTTATTTTGGAAATATGGGCTGAATGGTTATTAGAATCGTACGATTAACGATTCGATTCATACGATTCAATACGAGTTTAAGCAAAAATGATTCGAATCATGGTGTTGAATTGGAAATTGAGTGAATCACAAGATTCAATTTACGATTCATTGCGACTCAATACGATTCACATGATTCACTGCAATTCAGTACTACTTTTATTTTTGTTTACATAATGCATGAAACAACATCTTTTTTGCCAAACTATGAAGATATATAGAAAAGATTAGTTAATTATATTGATATACGTAATTTTATATGTATATACATATATATAATTTATTGATATTGATAATTTACTTTATTTTAAATATTGTATGTACTTTTATATGTATATAAATATATAGAATTGTATATTATATTAAATAAAATGAATCTTACAATTCATGATTCGATACAATTCATAATTTTAGCAAAACGATTCATGATTCGATTCGCAGTTTGACAATAGCTGAATTGTAATTCCCCTTAAAATTTTTAACACAGCATACAATTATCGGTGTTAAACTTTGCATAAATCTTATTCAATAATTCATGATAAATAATAACAACTACAGAAAACGAGAAAACTGGTGTGACAAAACTCAAAATATGACCAGCATTGGTTGCAGGAGTACATGTTATCCTTGCTGCAAATCAAATTGTAAACTAGCTTGTAAGAAGTAAGGTCATGCATTGTCCAAATATTTAAAGCATAATTTACTATTTCAGATCAATAAGAACCTTTTTGCCTCATTTTTGAAGAGGATATTTCAAACAAAACTATGTAATCAACAGACTTGAACATTAAAAACAAAATAAAAAAACAAAAAATTGATTCTAGCAATTATGGTGTTGTTCCCAAGACTGAAGGAGATTAAAACCCACCACAAACAAAATTTTTATCAAAGTAGATCAAACATTACTGTCTAATCCAGTCATTGCTTATACAATCTAAGTGTACCATTTTGCAGCAAACAAAGAGAATTTGAATGAACTTCTTACCATCAAACTTCTCATTCTGTGCAACCACAATTGGTGAACCTTCAAGCTGCCATAAAAAAAATAAAAACAAAAAAAAAAAAGTAATCATTAGGAGAAACGGACACATGACAAACAAAATAAAAAAACAAAAAATTGATTCTAGCAATTATGGTGTTGTTCCCAAGACTGAAGGAGATTAAAACCCACCACAAACAAAATTTTTATCAAAGTAGATCAAACATTACTGTCTAATCCAGTCATTGCTTATACAATCTAAGTGTACCATTTTGCAGCAAACAAAGAGAATTTGAATGAACTTACCATCAAACTTCTCATTCTGTGCAACAACAATTGGTGAACCTTCAAGCTGCCATAAAAAAAATAAAAACAAAAAAAAAAAAAGTAATCATTAGGAGAAACAGACACATGACATTGAAGTTTGAACACAAAAAACAGAGCAAAATCATTAACCTTGCAGGACAAGAGCTTGATACAACAACCATTTGGTTCCTCTACAACTCTAACCAACAAAACAGGGCACACTTCAAAAGCAAAGAACTTGAAATTGTATACGTAACACCTGAAGGTGCTATTGTCAACTCTCTCAATCCTCTCCGCATCCAACACAGAGTACTGACTCGCAGGCAAACTCATATACTCCACTGCAAAAAAAAAAAAAAAAAAACTGTTAAGATATTTTAATAAAAATAATATTATATTTCATATATTCAATTTGTCCGTCACCAAATTTATTTCAAATATTAAATCTTCTAATTATGTAACTTTATTTCAAAATTAATTCTACAGTTTTATTATTTATTATGTTACCATTTGGCTTTATATGAGTTTATTAAACCTCTTGGCCTATCTTGCACTATATATATATATATTGCTCTCTTTTCGTGTTATGAGATATAGAAGAATATCATTGGAGTGAGATTTAGAGTTTACTATTACATATTTTATATATTGAGATGTTGGAGAGAATGAGAAGGTTTTCTATTCTATTTCACGAATTTTGGGCAACTCTAATTTGTGCCTTGGTTCACCCTTCTGCTAGTCGTCAACACTAAACAAGGGACGTTGTAAGCAACATGTCAAAAGCAATTTTAGAACAATGATCACACGATTCTCAAAATTGTTTTGTCTATATATATTATCATTTAGGGGACTTACATATAGGAAGTCCAATGGTATTTTTCATCAACCATTATTAAAAAAACGTCACTATTTATTAATTTCCAACGACAGTTTAAAAGTTGTCACAAAAAATGTAACTAATTATTAGTTTTAGTGACACAAAAAAAAAAAATTCACTAATTTTCTACTTTCAGTTTAAAAAATTCGTAACAAAAAAACGTCACATAAGTTTTAGCGACAATTTATAAAATATGTGACAAAAAAAGTTGCATCAACTGTTAACAACGTATACAAAAAAATGTCACAAAAATTATTTATAGCAACAATTTTACCATGAATTATTTTTAATAGCCCTTGATGATAGGAATTAAGTCTAAATAGTTATCCTATTCATTATCATAGCTATTATAATATTTGTGCTAAATATCTTATTTATTTATTTATTTTGCTACACACTAACAAAAACAACATAAAAAACACTCCAATTTCAATGATTCAATAGAGAGCAGAGAGAGAGAGAGAGAGTATGAGAACATTACTGAGAGGTCGAGCGAGCTCTCGAACCGACACGGACTCTCTTCGGCGGGCGATGAATCGGGCTTTGGGAGCGGAGTCAGCTGAAATGCGAAGAGAGGGTTTGGGAGATTCATCGGGAGAGGATAGAGTGAGTAGAACATGTCTTTTTGCAGAGAGAGGAGACCTAGGGTTTTTGAAGTGGAACGAAATTGAAGACAAATGCGAGGAAGATGAGTTCAATGCCATGGTTGATGTTGTTTCTGTTGTTTTTTCTTTTTTCTTCTTATCTTTATGACGAATCGCAATGCGAGAGATTGGTCGGTTTGCTTGGCTCTTGAAGTAGAAAGACAGAGTGAGAGAGCATAAGTGTGGTTGAGGATGAGGACACGGAGTCTGCTAAGGTGGGTGATGTGACGCTTACTAAGTCATTTAGCAACATCTGCTTGGGATTTGCTATCCTGTACTGATGGATGCGCCCAGGTTAAGCCTACGGTGGTAGCCCAACAACCTCCTCCTATTTGCTAACCTGCACTGATGACTGCCAAAGTGGGGTCGACTTCTCGTTTGAAGAAAGGGTTTGGCTTTTCTCAATTATTTTGAGATTAATTTTGATAATTTAAATTATTTATTTTTTTATGATTTGTTGAGTTAAATATTTTATAAAAAAATTAAGGTAAGTGGATATTAATAATTACATATTTAAATTATATTTATTTAAAAAAAAAAGACAACCAATTTAATTTGAAAACTCGTTATCTATTTTTTTAATACAAATTTATTGACTTTTTTGACTTTCGAAAGTTATAAGTGTAATTCGAGTGTGTCAGTAAGAATCAATAAATTCTTACAAAGATTAATAAATTCTAATTAATTAGTTAGACGATTGCTTCGAAATTCTTTCGGCTTCAATGAAGAGGACTTTCTTCGTGGTTTAGGCTTTGTTTGGTTTATTTTAAGGAGAATAATTTAGGAGAAATTTTTTTAAAATTTTGTTTGGTTTAGTGATTTTGAAAAAAAATTTTCAAAATCACTTTCTCTCTCATACACATCAATCAATCACTTTTTTTCTCTCTTTCTTTCTCAATCACTTTTTCTCTTACGCACATTTACTCAACTACAATAAAATATCAAATCATCTCAAACTCCCATGCTTCAAAACTATTTCTAAAATATATAATCAAACAAACCAAAAAAATGTCTAAACTCTCTCCCTAAATTTTGTATTGAAAATTTATCTTCCAAAACCAAACCAAACCAAACACGCCTTTCGTGTTTAGAAGAAAATATAGAAGACTAAGTAAGATAAAAGAAAGAGGGAACAACAGTGTCAGAAATCAAATTTTTATCAAGTACACAGAAACTTACAATTATACCTTCACGCTTTCACAGCTTCGAAAGGGATTACACCAACAGACTAACTTAGAATTACTCATACGAATTTGAAGTGTAGTACAGGAATGTAAAGACTATAATTTAAAGGACTGGAAAATATAAAGTAAATAAACTGGCTTTCCTGGATTTTGTTCCGGGCCTTCATTATCAACACTCTTCTCTATTTATAGGCTCTGAAAATAACCATCGATACGGTTGATAATCCGTCGAAGTAGGTGATAACTGTCAAAATGATCTCCATGATCACTGAGTGTGGTCTGCCGTTTTGATCAATTTGTTTGCCACTATTCCACTCTTTCTGGTTATGCTTCCCTCATAAATTTGAATTTAAGCAATAGACAACCATTTGGCCACGTCACCTTGGATATATTGACTATTCCCATATCTCACGAATCTATTGTCATTGCCACAGGTTGCCACGCGTCTGTTGATGATTGAAGACCTTTACTAATTCCCCAATTTACCCCTTATAATCCACGTGTCAGGCTGCGATAAGTCTGTACAAAATATATAGCCAACATTGCCCCATACACTAATATAGCCAATACTTGGTAATATTAGTGAATTAGTGCACTTCGCCCACGTCCCAGGACGTGCATGGACTTTATTTATCTTGGAAGTGTAACCATCTCCAAGCAATGAAACACAGAACTTCATTAAATTCTCTCTTGCACTTGAACATTACCTCCACTATCTGTGTAAACGAAGGGACTGATACATCTCTAATGGCTAATCAAGCTCTCTCTTTCATTGATCAAGCATACGAGGAGGTTTTGAACAATAATGACCGATCTTGAAAGAACTTTCATGCATTTATTAGCCATGTTTATCCTCTTTCATTTATACAAGTTATGAAGGCTTTTGTAGAATATGAGCCTTTAGACCAAACACTTGCTAAATGGATCTTGGAAGTTCTTCATCTACTCCAAAACCTTCTACATTGGATGAAGTTGCCTCATCTTCTACTGGAAACACCGATTGTAATGCTTGGCCAAAACCAACCTAACCACAAACAAGGGAGCAGATTCATCACAGATTTGTTGAATTCGATGACCTTACTATAATTCTTCACTCTTCACACAGCTCTGTAGTATATCCTTATATCCTCTTTGACCGTCTTCGCTATCTCGAAGACAATTTGCTTTCGGCATGGTATACCTCTACCTTGCCGACCAAAATAGTGTGAAATACCCCTCACCCCATTGAGGCTTTGGGAATGAGCTCCTCACTTTTGGCCAAAAAAGCAAAACTTTGGTCTTCGGACTGGCTAGAGTGTGTAAATAATCCTCAGTTTCCACCTTCTTTTAGAAGGGACCCCACTGCTCCATCCCTTCCTCCTAATCTCTAATTGGATTGAGGAATTGAAACTTACCCTCTTTTGAAAACCAGCATTTTGCCTCTTATTGGGCTCCAATTCCTCCAACTGCTTATCAACAGTATAAAGCCCAAACCCTACTTGTTGCCTTTTCTCATTTATCCTTCGAAGCCCTTCAAGATGACATTCCTCACAAGAACTGTCTGTGGGCTTGTGACATTATCTCTTGAAGTCACAACCTCAACCCTGTGGCCCAAATAGAACTCCACACTTTCCTGGACCCAACTCCCTTTGCTGTCCAACTGTTGCAAGAATGATTTGGCCACCAGGGAGTCATTGGAAAAGACCTTTGCTGTTCGCATCCAAACACAATATGAAGTAGAAAATCTTCTTGAAAAATATGAAGACTTCAAGAGGCCGGAGTTATAGTATGGGCAAGATGTTGATATGGATGATATGTGTGGGATAGATGAAGTAGAGAAAGCTTTTAAGCAAACAAAATTTGAGATAAGGGCCCAACAACTCTTTTACCAAATAAGGGCTCACCAATTAGATAAACCAAATTTAGATAGGATATAGGAGAGGTTAGAAAAAGAATATGTGTTTATTGAATTTTGCTAGACAAAGTTTCATGACCTTGTAACTTTGTCCATTCCTTACTTTTATGAAATTGAGAATGTAGCCAAATAGGCTCTCTCAATGTAAATATTTATATCAATAAAATTGGGTTCGTATATTTCAATTGCATGGTTAATATGACTTTATCCTTTAATTTGTTCATATAATTTATAAATAACAGTTTTGAAGTAACCAATCTTATTTCAAAGCCTGGTTTCAGTGTTTCGAAGCATAGAGTTCCCCTTACAAAGTGACAAGATCTTCCTTCGAAGGGCTCTGCCCTAGTAAAAAGTTGAAGAAAGTACTTTCATGTATGGGTAAGTCCCCTGGTCTTTAAAATTTTCACACCATTTCATTGAGTGTTGGCGTCATAGTGCCCACTTACTTCGAAATCAAACCCAAGCACAAATTGTACTTCCTTTAATCAAAGAATGCTAAAACATTCCTTCGAAGGAAATTTTCCTTGATGGAAAGCCGAGGAGCATACTTTTAAAACTTTCGAAGTAAACAAGTCCTAACTCTACTTGAGTTTAAGGCATAAGTTTTAAAGATTATGGGAAAACACTAGCTTTGAAGCCAACCACATCTTTTGAAGCCAGACTGAGTATTTGAAATGTATTTCCCTCTCTTACAAGGCAACAAAATGCTGCTTTGAAGGAAGTTCTCTTTGTTGTGTTTTCAGGACCCCCATTTTGTTTTAAAATAAAGGCCTTAATCTCACATAGGTCAAAATAACCAATCAATTAACTTGGTCTATTTGACCCGTTAGGCTGAATGAGTAATTTTTTGACAAAAAGGTTTAAAGCCCCAATTTCTCGCACTCTTACCTATTTGTTTGTGATTTGTACGATGATCTTATACTCCTTGTGTTCCCCACACAGTGGGGTAATAATGTTTCAAATACTTTTCATTAATTTTTCTGGGATGCATATATCCATTTAGGTTCTTCAAATGGTAAGCTCCCCCAAGCAGGACTCTATGGACTTGGTATGGCCCCTCCCAATTAGGTTACCACTTGTCAACTTGTGGCTTTTAATGCCTACTAGAAGTATTGTTTTCCAAACCAAGTCCCCTTTATCAAAACTGAGGTGTTGGAGCCTTTTATTATAGCTCTTGGATGTTTTCCTCTTTTGTAGAAGGATGTTATTTAGTGCCAACATTCTGGCCTCGTCTACATTTTCCAATTCCAAACATATGCTTTGATGATACTGATCAGTAGTTAGGTGATCTTGGTATTTGACCCTTAAGGACTTTATATTGATCTCAATAGGTAATACTGCATCATGTCCATATACCAAGGCATAAGAGGTAATTCCCGTGCTTGATCTTTGGGAAGTCTTATATGTCCATAATACATCTAATAGTAAATTATGCCAATCTCTTGGATTGTCTTCAACAACCCTCTGTATTCCTTTCTTCAAGGATTTGTTCGATGACTCTGCTTGGCAATTTGCTTATGCATAATAAGGGGTGGAATTAATAAGACTAATTCCAAACTCTGCTATGAAAGCTTTTACTAGCTTTCCGTCAAACATAGTCCCATTATCCACAGTTATGGTCTGTGGAATACCAAACCTGTGGATCAATTCTTTAATATGAAGTCAATTACTTTTGTTTGATCCACTGTTTTATAAGGCTTAGCTTCGACCCACTTTGTAAAGTAGTCTGTAGCTACTAAGATGAAACAATGTTGTTTTAAAGAAGGTGGGTAAATTTTTCCTATCATATCCATTGCCCATCCTCTAAATGGCTAAGCCTTCACTACTGCATGTAGATCAGTTATTGGAACATGTCTTATCATGCCATGCTTTTGGCATATCTGGCAATCTTTTGTATACTCTATGCAGTCCTTAAGGATGGTTGGCCAATAATAAGAGTGCCTTTGAAGCAGCCATCTCATCTTAACTCCAGACTGGTGAGCATTGCAAATGCTCTTATGCACCTCAGCCATGGCAATCAATGTTTCCTTTGGTGCTAAACACTCTAATAAGAGACAATTTGCCCATCTTTTGTAAAGAGCATTCCCATACACTATGTATTGCATAGACTG